TAATTTACAGATATTATTCCCTGAGGCCTACTCTAATGCCAAATGCCAAACTACATTTTCTCACCAATCCTTCCTGCACGACAAGAGGATCATGTGTTCTGGGATATTAAAATATATGAGATCCTGCAAATAGTTGACCATGCATTTTAGTCTGCCATAAACAATATTGTCTACTGGTCTTGTAAGTTGGTATCCCCTATTCATCTGTCTTCACTGCATTCTAGCACAGTAGAAGCCATCACACTGAACAGATAGTGATGTGATACAATTCTCTCTGAATAAATGCACAGACACACATTGGTATGGGATATAGGCATGCATCTAGAAAGGAAATATTGAAAAGGTCAGAAGCATACAGCATGCTATCATCTCACTATATATTCTGCATTAACATTTCAATATCTCAGTCTTGTGACAAAAATTGTAATGAGGGGGGGGGAAAGGAGTAGAATATTAATCCATGCCTGAGCCACAAAACGCAGCAAGACTGAGATATAGAGAAAAGCACTGGCACATGACAACTCTAAGCTGCTGTCCCAGAGTCCTTATGAATGTTGCTCTTCTTTTAGAGATTTCCCTAATTCATAGCCTGTCAGGGCCCGATTCTCCCCTTGCTCATCTGACATCATTTATACCAATGCAGGACGTGTGTCAAATGCTACCAGCGCTCAGAATTCTCTAATCACTTGCACAGGACATAATATTTTACACCCACTTTGCCGAGGAGAAAGGGGTTTTGTTTTTTTGCTGTTGGGACGTGTGAGTGGGGGAATTATACACTACAGATTAGATCAAGGTGCTCTTAGTCACAGGCATGCAGCCCCACTGAAATGATCCAGGAGTACCATGTCCTTCCTCGTGACATGACCAAAAAGCACGCCACACCACTTTTGAAGGTAGTGAGTGATTGGAGGAAGGCCAGATCTCTGTGAGACTGTGGCATTTCGCACTAAGTTGAGCCATTTTCTGCTCAGGATTTGGTGCTGACAGCACATATGGAATGCCTCTAGCCTCTGCAAGTCTGCCTGTGAGAAGCTTACAGGTTTCTGAGCTGTATAACAGTACAGGCAGTACACAGGTTTAATAGAGCCTGAACTTTGTCTCAGCACAAAGACATTTTTGTATCCATACCCAAGACATGCCACCTCCTGCATGAAGTCCAAGTCCTAATCAGATGGCGTCCAATTTGTTGCAACCGTTTGAACTCTGCTTGCAGCCTACATAAATGAACTTGTCAACACTCTCCACAGTTCTTGATACCACCTACACTGGGGAGTTCTGGTGGCCCAGCTCTGAGGTTTATGACCTTGGTCTTCTGCCATGAGACGTTCAACCTCATAGTGCGGGCAGCATGTTGGAAACCTTGATCTGAGATGCCAACTCCTTTCACTGAGGACTGAAGTGCTGACCTGTCAACCTAATCAAAAGCTGCTTTTATGTTGACATATGTCATGTGAAGCAGGCAATTAAATTCTCAATGCAGCTCAGCCAGAAGTCGCAGGGTCAGGACAGCATTCATTGTCCACCGCCCAGCAGTGAAACCTGATTGCAGTGGACAACAATGCCTACTAAGGAGCAGCTGCATCCTACCAAGCAGAACATGAATGAAGAGCTTTCCAGGGAACGACAGCAATGAGATCAGCCTGTGGTTACTACACTTCATGCCCTTTGCCTTGTACAGGGACACTATGATGCCATCTTTCCATTCTGCTGGTACTCTGCCAGATACCCACACTTTTAAAGCAGTTGGTGCAGACCAATGCTCACTGGCTCCAAGGCACCTTTGAGCAGTTCAGGTGCAATACCATCGATCCAGCAGCACGTGCATTCAGCAACTTTTGGATTGCTTTTCATCCTGCTTTGAGTGACGGAGGCTCGGTGTTTGTCCCTGGGTCTGTAGCTGTATGGATTGACGGGTCACATAGCACTGGACAGTCATAAGCAGGTGTGTGGTTCAACATGCTTTCATAATGTGTCTTCCATCTGTCCAAGACCTCATTTGTTGATAAGCAGGGAGAGCCATCTGATTTCATAAGGGGAACATTAGAAGGCTGTTTATGGCTGCCAACCAGGTACGTGATAGTTCTGTAGGCAGGATGCAGATTGTTGTGCTTTAGGCCATCCTCTGCTTCATCGGCCAGGAAACTGACGTAGATCTCATGGTCAAGTTTTGCCATGGTCCAGAAAATGCCTTTCAACCATTTACGTTTTTGGACATTTCCCTGCTTGCGTGCGTCTGCCTTTTTTACTAATATATCACAGGTCTCTTTAGAAAGCCAAGGTTTATTGCACAACCATCTGAAGCCAATTATTTCAGTGGTGGCATGTGGTATACTGTTATATATACCATTCTAAGCAATCTCCACGTTATCCAAGAGGTTACTGAGATTACATATGTGATCTTTGATAACTTGTGTGTGTATCCCACTGACCTATTAGAATAATACTTGCCATTATTAAGCAGCTTGTTGATCTATTCACGGCAAACAATTTATTAATTGAATTTGGCCCTGGTCTTTTCCATGAACAGCCATTACAACAATGTTTGAGCCTGTTTGGAATTCAGGGACCAGTTCTCTATCCCTGCATATTTCTGTGACTTCAAGACATCTTTGCCCATATTCTTCAGCTGCCTGGGAATTTACCCCACTGCTAGCATAAATTAGAACAGCCTTGGAGCTACTCTAATTTATGTTTTGGCTACTGTTGCCTAGGGGCTGTGAAAAACCAGAGTGCAGATCACCCTCACCAAGCCCCCCTTACTAAATGAGAAAACTAAGTCACACAGCTGTTCAGAAGCAGAACCAGGAATAGAATCCAGTATTTTTAAAGTGAGTTTTCAAAAGCAATTAGCATTTGCCTGACCATGGGTGGCGGGTGGCATAGGCAGGGGAAGGCTGTGCTTCCCCAAACAGCCTGACGTGGACCTGCCCACGCTCCACCCCCAGGTCCTCTCCTGCCTGCTTCCAGTTCCCTACGTGGTGGGGCCGAGAGGCTGGGCAGGGCAAGCTGGGGCTGATGCGCTCTAGACACGTGCCAGGTTCATGGATTCCAAGACTAGAAGGGACCATTGTGATCATCTACTCTGATGACTTTAAGGGAGGAGTTACTGTATGTGGTTCAAAGTATGCATCATTCTGTTTTACCATCTCCAGGCCTGATCCAACTCTCACTGAAGTTAAGGAGTCTTTCTGTTGCTTTCAGTGGGAGCCGGGTTGGGTGTGTGGGTGTGTGGGTGTGTGGGTGTGTGTGTGTGTGTGATATTATGGGGACGCTGTGAAAGATCAAACCATCTGCTGTAGTTGTGGGAGTCCTTATAATTTCACATTGTTTGGGAGTGTCCGCAAGGAAACACTGACCCAGTGGTTAGTGTGCTTGCCCACCCACTCAATGTGGTGGTGTTGCTCTGGAGAAGATACTGTAGGGACGCTTAAAGGTTGAAGTTCAGCGTGTTTCCAGGGATTTGTCTCATCTTTGGTGCCAGAGGTGAGACATGCATATGGAGAGGATACCATACCCCACATGATTAAACTGTATAATTAATTTGTGCATTCATCTCGTTTGTTTCCTCAAATCTCTGTCCCCACTGGCAGTAGACTCTAGACCGGGGTGAGCAAACTTTTTGGCCCGAGGGCCACACTGTGGTTGCAAAACTGTATGGAGGGCCAGGTAAGGAAGCTGTGCCTCCCCAAACAACCTGGCTCCAGACCCTATCTGACCCCTCCCACTTCCTGCCCCCTGACTGCGCCCCTCAGAACTCCTGACCCATCCAACCCCCCTGCTCCTTGTCCCCTAGTCGCCCCCTCCTGGGACCCCACCCCCTATCCACCCCCCCGCTCCCAGTCTCCTAACTGCTCTGACCCCTATCCACACCCCTGCCCCCTGACAGGCCCCCCCGGGACTCCCATGCTTATCTAACCCCCATCCCCTGACCGCCCCCCTGAACCTCCGCCCCATCCAACCGCCCCCGCTCCCTGTCCCCTGACTGCCCCCCGGAACCTCCCGCCCCTTATCCAACCCCCTGGCCCCGGCCCCCTTACAATGCCACTCAGAGCAGCATGTCTGGCAGCCGCACCGCCCGGCCGGAGCCAGACATGCTGCCACACTGCTCAGCAGGAGCGCGCAACCCCACCACCCAGAGCACTGCCCACGCGGCGGCGTGGCTGCGGGTGAGGGGGAACAGCGGAGGAGGAGCCGGGAGCTCACAGGCCGGGCAAGACAATCCCGTGGGCTGTAGTTTGCCCACCTCTGCTCTAGACACCAATGAAACCAGAGCCATTCACAAGATGGGAAATGCTGTTAACTATGATGCTCCCTAGAATATCTACTGAATGAACAGGGTAGCAACTGACTATGGACTACACCATGACTACAAGACTCTCCTCTTTTAAATTCCTCCTCAAAACCTAATTTATGTTTCCACTGCCACTCTCTGCTCAGATAAAGGCCACTTCCACATCTAGTGAGGGGGGAAAATGCTCTCTTGTGCACATCTTTCTGCTGGTTTAATGTTTCTTTCCTTATCCATCTTCCATGTTTTTTGTCCCACTCCCATACTGTTGCTCTAGCTCCTCAGGGAGTAGCTTCTTATGTGTTTGAAAAATATGCATACAGCACTATGTGAATAACAAATAAGTTATTTGAGAATCTTATTTACCTGACATCAAGGCACAAGGTAGGAATTGCTGCTAATAGTGTAGTTGCAATTTCCCTGATCCTTCAGTATAGGTCCTAGCTGCAACCTGGAAGTGCAAAGTTAAGCAAAAATGAATCCAAACATTTCAGAATTGCCAGCTGGCTTAATTCTAATATTACTGGGCATTTATTTTACCCAGAGCAGTTCTGCTTATTTTCATACTTCAAAATATCTGGGTGGGGAATTTGATTTCCAAGTTTACGAATCTGGCAAGAAGTAACATGCCTGTAACATTTTAATCCTGAGTATTATTTCGTCCCCAAAACTTCAGGGAGGCTAGTACACACCCCCTGTATTGCATATGGGTAGATAATTAACAACCAACATTTCTGTTACGTTTATGCTCGTACATGCCTGTCTTTTAAGCAATCACATTTTCTGCAGAAGATGAACATGTTTAGATATCACTGGTTCTCGGGCATTCTGCGCTGCAAAATACTTTGTTCATGAAGAAAAACAAGACAGATGCAAACAGGTAGTTCGCCTACAGATTTGCCATTGAGTAAACTTCCGGGACACAAATTACAACTGGTTTACACGCAACTTAATCTGGTCATCCGTATTCTTTAGAGGCTCAGGTTGAGTTTTTGTGAAATAGTCATAAAGTTGTGCAAAAATTTGCAGAACTGGGAGGCAGGAGGTTCTAGTGGACAGGGCCCTGGATTGGGAGTCAAAATGTGGGTTCTGTACCTGGCTCTGTCGCTGACTTGCTGTGTGAAGTGGGCAAGCTACTTCATCCCCATTTCTATCTTTCTAGCTATCTATCTCTATTCAGGTTCAGGCTTTGGGGTAAGGACTGTATCTCGCTATGTGTTTTGAAGAGTGGCGAGCATAATGGGACACTGGTCTTAGTAGGCGCCTCTAAGTGTCTTTGTAATTCAATTAACCTCAAATTCTTATTTTTGTAACAAAAATGTCCATTTTCACAACAGAATTTTGCTAAATTGCAGTATAAGTGGATGATTATTGGTTCCGTGTTTCAAGAGAATATGGCTTTGGCACGAAAAACACATTCAAGTCATGCTTTTGTTTAATGGGAAAATAGCAATTTTGTTGAATGAAATGAAATTTGGAATGTGGCATGGGGAGGTGGCCTACTGCCTGGAAATAAACTAACAGGGTTTCATTCAACGCTGCAGTGGTGCCAAGTTTCATGATTTTATCATAAATGCCATCCTATTTGATGGGTTTTTTTCTTTGAAGCCCTAGCTCTTGGAGTCATCTGACTTCAGGAGAATCTCAGCTTTCATTCTAAAAAGGTAAATGTTTAGCCTATAGTGTGGAGGAGAAAAGCTTGGAAGCATGGACCCTGAAGGCTTAGAAAACCAGAAGACACATAAAGAACCTAATGGTTAGTTATTTTAAACTCGCACGATTTTTTGGGGCTGACTCCTGGTTTTTGAAAGCAGGGGCTTGGCAGTACTGACAGGGTGAATGGCATTCAGTTCAGACCAGGGCTTAAATTCTCATAGTATTTTGTGGCCCCCCCGTAGGAGGCGTTGGGGCTCGGGGCTTCTACCCCTCAGGTTTGAACATATTTACCAGGGCTCTGCTCCTGACAGCGCTGGATGAATTTAAGCCCTGGTTCAGAAAGGTCTCAGGCTTGTCTGGGGAGCAACCCTGGAGGCTCTGCCCTTTGTGACCGCCTGCATGAGATGGCCACTGATTCAGAGAACTGAAGAGAAAACAAAGCAAGGCTCAGCTTCAATTGACTCCATGAGGGTGGACCCTTACACGAGTCCAATGGGACAAACCCTTTCACCCGTGTAGTTGGCTTGGCAAGACTTAGGCCAGGGGCACACTTGTGAGTGACTCCTTCAAAAGAAGGAGCTGCTCAAGGTTAGCATGGAGGAGAACCCGTTATGCAGCAAAAGCAGCTTCCCTGGGGATGTGCAGCACTTCCTGACTTCTCCTCCTGAAGTGGAGCTACAGAAGCAGCCCAGGATTCTCTCTCCAGCAGGAAATGAACCGCACCCTGAGCCCTACTGCCAACCGCAAGAGACTGAGAATCATGAGTCAGACCCCCAAAAATTACGATTGGACCTATAACACACATACCATTTTTTAATTAAAAAA